AAACCGTCAAAAGGACACATATTTACAGGATGAGAGCTGAAACAAGAAGGCAGAACACTGCCTCATCAGACCTCAGCTGGGATGTGTATTAGGACGTTCAACCCTTGAGCAAGTCTGAAAATGGTGCCCAGTATTGATTTGGGGGGTAAACACATTTTAGTGAGCAGACGAATTTGCAAATAAAGAATCTGCCAATAATGAGAATCAACTCTAACTATGTATCTATCTATCCACCTACATATGTATGTATCTCTATATCTATTTATCTATCATTTTTGCCATCCTACAGTCTCAGTTTAAATGTCACTGCCTTCAGGAAGTCTGAGACAAACTGCTAGCCTACATCAGATGAGCTTTGAGTTCCCACTGGCATCCTGTTCCTCCCTTTCCATAAACCTGATTCTTCATAACATTTTTTTTTTTTTTTTTTTTTTTTGGTAAAAAAACCTCTGGACTCTAAGAGGCAGGAAACACATCTGTCTTAGTCACCTTTGTATCTCTGGTAACACTAAGACTTTGTATCTCTGGTAACACGAAGACTTAGCACAGTGCCTGGCATATAGTAGATGATGGATAAAGAGTTGTTGAATAAATTAATACTTCTTTTGAAAGCAGTATGTGTGGTGGAAAGAACACTGGGATTGGAGTTGGAAAACTTGGTTTCTCATCTCAGTTCTTTAAAAAAATTTTTTTTTCAACGTTTATTTATTTTCGGGACAGAGAGAGACAGAGCATGAACAGGGAGGGGCAGAGAGAGAGGGAGACACAGAATCGGAAACAGGCTCCAGGCTCTGAGCCATCAGCCCACAGCCTGACACGGGGCTCGAACTCCCGGACCGTGAGATCGCGACCTGGCTGAAGTCAGACGCTTAACCGACTGCGCCACCCAGGCGCCCCTCATCTCAGTTCTTATATCTAGTGGCTATGTGACTGGTAACAAGTTACTTATATTCCTTGAGCCTCAGTTTCCTTACCTGTAAAATTAGAAAAATAATACCTATCTTTCAGGATTTTTAAAGACCTTAAAAGTGAGACAGTAAACGTGAAAACCACTAATATCTGGTATACTGGTGATATCCAATAATCAATGAATTGGAGTGGTTTATGAGACACATTAGATGTTTATAGCTAGGTAGGTGAGCTACACAAAATATACTGATTACAGTATGAGCAATGAATGTATTTAGCCATCTGGATAGTATTAACTCTTTACACATTTAGTGGTATGTAGTCAGGGAACTTAAATAGTTTGGAGAATTTTTCACTTTAGAAAATAGATGTTTTCTCACTCTGTCAATCAACCCCACTCTTCAAGATCAAAGGTTATGTACATCATCTACACTATGAATATGTATTCACAAGAATTGATGGTTTATCCATTCTATTTCAAAAATATCTTCTGGATGTTTGAAAGTGATTCTTCAATAACATAATTAGAGTTTGTATTCTCTGAAAACAACATTTTTTCTCTTTCAAACACTCCTGTTAAACAGACAATTAAATGCAATTAATAAGCATATGATTCTGCCTGGAATTGTTTTTTTTTTTTTTAATTTTTTAAATGTGTATTTACTTTTGAGAGAGAGAGAGAAGGAGAGAGCAAGTGAGTGGGGTAGGTACAGAGAGAGGGGACACAGTATTCAAAGCAGGCTCTGGGCTCTGAGCTGTCAGCACAGAGCCCGACACAGGGCTCGAACTCAGACCGCAAGATCATGGCCTGAGCTGAAGTCGGACGCTTAACTGACTGAGCCACCCAGGCACCCCTGAAATGTTTTCTTAAAAAGATCTACCATGTCCCTTAAGATTTTGAGGCTATAAACATCCATTATTTTTTTTCTTCTTCTTTTTTTTAAAGATTTTAAGTAATCTCTACACCCAGCGTGGGGCTCAAACTCACAACCCCAAGATCAAGAGTCGCATGCTCCACTGGATAAGCCAGCCAGGCACCCCCAAAATCAATAATTTCTATAAAAGTATCACAATCCTCTTGTGTGCAACTAAGGATAATGATATAACATAAATGGCAAAACGCAGTGGAAAAGAAGCTGCATAAATAATGCAGTGGTTACATCACTCAAAACGTGTACATATTATTGCCTTACAAAATTATGATGATCAGATAGGATTAAATGACACTGAATAAGATTATTGGTCTTCAGTAGATGCAAAACACGATGATTCACTGGCAAAGGAAGCTAATGGTAGGGAGGGAGAGATGTTACATTTGTGCGTTTGATTACACAGCAGAACAGATAGGTAAAACCTCAGAATCAAGAATCATTATTTTATATGCAATATTGTTTCTTAACTTAGACGTATGTTAATTTTTCTTGAGATGACATTTTTTTTTAAACACCTGAATTCTTATAAGGAACCTACCATCAGGTCTAAATTAAACCTAGGATTTAAAACATCATTTGCCGACAGGCATCCTGCGAGTGTTTTCCACAGAGGCACATCACATCCGATTATTTCCAGGCTATTTTAAATGGTCCTGGACAGGGCTACTGAATGACTGACTTGTCAGGGAACAGGAAAACATTATGACACCGCTTCTCCAGGTTTCTTCCCACAACATGAAATATTTGGGGTCATTCTAATAGAATCAAAGCTAGTTTAAGAGCAAGTGAAGCTTCACTTTAAAGCTTTCAGTTTTAACTGGGGGAATGCTTCTAACATATGGCAGCTGGGCTCTGACTGACTGCAACCTTCAAATTCTGGCCAAAATGTCTGTTTCCTGAGATTGTGTCTGATAAGCCTGTGCATTCCTGGTGGGGCTCAGCAGGCATTCGATAAATGCTATTGTTGGAATGAATGAATGAATGAAAGGGATTCCAATTATGAGTTACAAATTCCTCCATCAACAAAATAATCCCATAGGAAAGCTCGATGTTCTTGTAATTCATATCTGTGAAGGATTAGATCTTCAGCTCCTTTACAATTTTTTTTTAATCATTTATGCTCCACTTTGTCTTTCTTGATTTTTTTTTAAACCAAAGTGTGAAAAGCACATAAGCATTTTCCAGAACATGACAGACAAGTATAGTTCTTAGAAAGTTTCATCTGTATGTAGCTTGTGCATGATAATTATGTTTAAATCTCAGTTAATCATCAGATATTTTCTGGGAACAGACTGTGGGTGAGGCCTTGTGTGAGCTATTTGAAAACGGAAGTTAAAAAGTTTTACCCTTGCTTACATGCAAAAAAAATCATCATTAAGACTAGTAGAACGTATGCCAGTATATCCACAAGGCAAATAGTTATCTAAGCTATACGAAATTAGAACTATTAAAGAAGTATAAATAACTGCTATACCACTTTTCATAATTAGAGATCTGTCATTCGAAAGCACTATGGAATGGAACATGGAAGAAAGCAAAACAGAAGGAAAGATCTGCAAAGATACCACGAAAATTTTAAGAACTCAAGTTCCTATCTGCTTGAAAAGTCTCTTGGGCATTCACTCAGAGACTATTGACTCTTACGTAAGACACAATTCTGCAAACCTTGAGATCTGATTTTCCAGTGTATAAAATATATTAAAAAGTACGGCGAAAGGAGTGGAGAGTTCTGCTCATAGGAGCAAGGAGAAACAATAAATACTGAAGGAAGAGATGAAAAACGATAAAACGTATGGCAGCGTGGGGCCATTTAGCGTAGGGGCAAACAGATCGCCACACCTCAGGGACTCTGAGGACATCCTGTATTACAGCATACTATACACACCATAATAATTAATGTTTATAATGATTTGGAAACATTAAGAATGGATTAACCCTGAACTAAGGAGACAAGGACTTACATCATCTATTTCGAAAGACCTCCCTCATCCCCACCAAAATAAAAGGGAAGTACCCGAGGCACTTACAGAGATCTAGTTCAGAAAATTAAGTTACATGGGATATCCCATTTTCTAGTAACGTCTGTGGGTGCAGCATCGCTATGCATAATTCAATAATAACTCTAATTACTAAAACCTTACAGTGAGGGTCTCTCAGTTATAACAAGCAGTACTCTGCAAACTTTCGGAAAAATAAAGAGATTTTCATAGTACGAATAACTGTTTTATACACTGGTATTTTATTCAATTCTAATATTAGCCCAATATCAATAAAATAAAAGCTGTCCAAATACCCTCTTTTTTTTTTTTTTAAGCTACAGTGTTTTTGTAAATGTTTACTTGAATTTTGAGCGTTCAACGCTGAGGTTTAAATATGTATCATTATATTGAGATACTTGCTATTTATACAGTAGCAATTGCTATTTATACAATAATGTTTAACCTGCCAGAATTCTGGAGAAGCAAAGGTTAGCTGTTAAGTACGTTCAGCGTGGGGGAAAAAAAAGAAAGAAAAACAGAGGCACAACTGGGCGTTGTTTTCACTCCGTGCAGGTGAGGTGGTAGGTGTTTAAAAGTACGCTCTACACAGGCACACACAGGATACCAACACCTCCTTCATGGCTGCAGCGATTCTTTTCAAAACTGCTAGCCTGTTTCCAGGGCAGCTGCAAAACATCCGTGAACACTAGTTAATTTATCGGAGTCATAGAAACTGCTGCCTCTACACCTGCCAGGCTAGATTCACATTGTACAGACTCTACAATGCAGGAACCGAAGGTCCCGAGATGAATTCTCTCCGCTCCAGGCTAGACGGAGCAAGGGGGAAGCCGCTGCTGTGAAGGTTCCGGGCCATACTTTTTGCATTATTGGGGCTTTCACTGCACATCCCGTCCAGACTCCAGAATAATGCTTTTTGTATTAAAATCATCATGATCAGGGGCGCCTGGGTGGCGCAGTCGGTTAAGCGTCCGACTTCAGCCAGGTCACGATCTCGCGGTCCGTGAGTTCGAGCCCCGCGTGGGGCTCTGGGCTGATGGCTCGGAGCCTGGAGCCTGTTTCCGATTCTGTGTCTCCCTCTCTCTCTGCCCCTCCCCCGTTCATGCTCTGTCTCTCTCTGTCCCAAAAATAAATAAAAAAACGTTGAAAAAAAATTTTAAAATCATCATGATCACCTCTGAATTGCTCTTAAATTTATCATCATCATTAGTAGCTGTACTTGGTTGTTGTTGTTGTTGTTGTTCATGAAAATGCAGTCTAAAGGCTACCACCTGACGTTTAACAAATGTCTGGGAAGAAGAGCAAGCAGGCAGGGCTCATAATCCCCACTCACCGATGGGGTAAATAAAGCTTGGGGAGGTTTTCCAGCATAGCCTGGGTCACGCTACTAAGAGTAGAGCTGGGACTTCAACCAGGGTTTCTGACTCCTTAAGTCTAGTGCTTGATAAATGTTGGCACATGCTTGATACTGAAAACCGATTTCCAGTTCTTTAAGAATTTATATTCTGAGGAACTCAGATTGGTAACTATGGAAAGTTTTCCATTAAGAGGATTTTTGAAAGTAAAACAGGAGGCTCTCTTATACTTTTTCAGAAGATTTTTATCACGAATTCCTTTCAGTTTATATGTTTTTATATTATCTATTCATTCCTACCGCAAGAGATAATTTACATAGTTCAACAATATGCCACCGATAAGTTACAGATTAATTGTTAATTAATTAGACAGGCTACAGAAAACTAACTCCTATGATGCAGAGCCTAAACCAAGCCTGGTCATAATTTCTAGTCCTTGCAGTGGGATAGGGACACACAGGGTGGTTGTTAGAGCCTGGTACCCAACATGACTCTGGCCTCAGAAGGGCCAGATTTGGTATTTTGGTAATACCAAATTTTGGTAATACATTTTCTAGTCAGATTATGTCTAATAGTATCGATGCAGATTTTTGACTTATAGTTAGGCTTATTGTTGATGGGAGGCGGTGTATTACGATTGGAAAGTACCCTAGGAGGTTAGAGAACTTGAAAAGGTTTGAGGGATATTTGAATTTTAAGTTTTTGTTCTCTCTCTCTCTCTCTCTCTCTTATGGTTATCTTTTTCATTAATTTATTTAAGCCTCCCTTGTACCTTCTAATATGTTGTCCATTCAAATGGGGAAGGGGGGATCCATAGAATTGATTCCTATGATCAGTTCTAACACTGACCATCTTCCACACTTAAGGGACGCTCATCTGGCATCCCTATGCCATAGAACTTTGCTCTTACCATCCTTTCCTTGGTATGAAACACTGAAGTAGCTTCAAGAGAACCATAATAGGTTATATTACCTTTAAAAGTTGTATTATTTGGGACTAGGGCTTTTGAAATAAAACATGAAGTATGTAATTGGGCAAAATAACATGCAATAATTATGGCAAGGAATTTCTTAAAAAAAATTTTTTTTTCAACGTTTATTTTTGGGACAGAGAGAGACAGAGCATGAACGGGGGAGGGGCAGAGAGAGAGGGAGACACAGAATCCGAAACAGGCTCCAGGCTCCGAGCCATCAGCCCAGAGCCTGACGCGGGGCTCGAACTCACGGACCGCGAGATCGTGACCTGGCTGAAGTCAGACGCTCAACCGACTGCGCTACCCAGGCGCCCCCAAGGAATTTCGATAGAACAAAAACATGGTAGCCATGGGAGTAAACAGTTTACATCAAGTCTCAGGTAGAGATACTGACAGAGCCGGGATAAAATCCTCAAGGTCTCACTTCTATTCAGCGCTCTGACCATTCGGTCACACTCCAGGAAATGACAATAAATATCTATCTGTGGCAACTTCGCGAGATGGAAATGAGGTGGCCTAACTTTTATCGTTCGCAATGATCAGACATGAAGCCATTTATAAAAATGCCTGCCCTCCCGTCACAGAAACCACTGCATCTCAACTAAAAACGAGAAGACACAGAAGAGGTTGATAAAAACGAAATCATGATACACTAATCCTTATCCTATCACCAAAGTGGTTGCCCAAAGAGGGGCCTCCACAGCTGCAGGATAAAAGGCACAAATCATGGACTACCCACTGGGGCAGCCAGGCCAGAGAAGTGAGGGAACGGCCCTTTCTTCAGAGGGCTGAATGGCTGGACTCTCTCGAATGAATAGATAACACCATCGAAGAACAGACAGTCGAGATGAAAGTAGAAACCAACGAAAACAGAAGAACGGAGGAAAACCATCAAAGGAGTAAAAAATAACAAAAGTCCAGGGACTGATTTGATCAGCACCCAAATGCTAAAACTGCAGCACGGGAGAGCTGTTTGAAGCTGCTAAAGGGATTTAACACAATCTGGAATGAACAGAATTTGCCATCAAATAGAACAGAAGGGCCACCAAGAGACCTTAAGGAAGGACAATCTAATGGAATGTGAACCCTGCAAAGAGAGCTCACTTGGCAATGTCCTTTTGAACATCTCAATCATTCCAAAGTGCTGTTTAAAACACACACGCACACGCACACACACACGCACACACACACACACACACGGTCTGGAGTCTGTGGGGAATTTTGATGGGAGCTGCTCATCAAAACTCTTAAATAATGCAAGGCAGTGGCAATCCATCCGATCTTCCACTCTGAGGACCCGAAGCAAAGAACAGACGCAGGTTTTATCAAAGCGGCTTCTAATCTTTCTAGCACATCTGCAATGTCCATCTCACCAGGGGCGACCTTCTGAGTGAACTTTGGGAGAGACGTGCTCTTTGGTTTTGTCTGGGTTGCAGTTTAATTCAGCAGGAAGCGGGCCGTGGCTGGGAACCACAGCACAAAGAAAACCACGGTAAGGAGGTAAAAAATGCGGGACTGATCGACAATAAGTGAGATGAAATAAACGACTGGTAGTTTTTTTATGAGACCAGCAGAATAAAAAAAAAAAATATGACAGGTTACCACTTTTAAGGCTTATTTCCCATTGCTGCTACTAAGTAGGTAATGATAGCAACAGCACAATTGGGCAACAGCACCCAGATCAGAGAGAAAGACAGAGTAAAAGAAAACGAACGGATCAGACAGGCTCCTTAAGACGGTATCCGATGCGGGGCAATCGCCTGAATAAAAACGTTCAATTTCACTCACGTACAATGCTGGTAAATTGCATCGTGGAGATAAAATATAGAGACTTTTGAAAAATTCTTGTTTTCATACAGATGGTTGTCCAGAACACCTCTGGACTGAGAGTGTTTTGGTTCAGGTAAGGTATAAAATCATCAGATGACCAAAAGTGGTGTATGTATTTGTAGAAAAGCTAAGAAGTCATGCTGTCTAATGTCTATGTGCCAGTGGTCTTTCCTGTACTAACCTTTAACCTAATTTAGGAGCAAAGGGAGGGAGGAGGTAATCCCTAGTCCCTGTACATCAAAGGGACTTTGCATACGAAGGGAAATAAAATTTCTCTTCCCACTTGATTATCTTCCTTCTGTCGGGCTGGGCCTATTATGACATAGGCAGTGGGGAACAGAAAATTCTTCTTCACTCTTGACCGGGTTCAATCTCTCAGATCTCAAAAGATCTCCAAGAGTCTCCAGAGCAGAAGTGGCCAGAGCCTTGTTCTGATTTCTTCTGTCTCTCCCCCTTGGCCGTTCATTCCATACCCCACCAGGTGTCCAGCACTTGAATGAGCATGAGAACGGGTCACACAAGGGAGGAAAAAGGGATTCAGTTCGCCATGGCTTTACCCCTTCTCAATGTCTTCAGCGTCTGTATATGACCAGATTCCTAGCACTGTGGGTTTGTTGCCTTATCCTTTCCCACATGCTACTTTCTTTGTCCTGGTAGGAAACAAAATCACCGTCTGTCTCCATCTCAAACAATCTGAAGTTTGGCAAAAAAAAGAAGGATGGAGTCTTCTTGGCCTGAAGGGTCTAGAGTACTCTGAGCACTTAGTAGGTGCTCAATAAATTCCAGCCAATAGGCAGGGCTCGCTTCCTCTGACAGCTGGCCAGAGGCACAAACTGCTTTGGGAAACCTGATGAAGAGACCCGCCTTTCTGGCAGAGCCATCTCGCTCTTTCATCACTGCACTCAAAGATATTACTGATGTTGGTCCTCTGGTTTTGCTGCTTTTTTCCTCTGACTGGACTAACTGAGTCTACTCTGCTCACTAGCTGCCACTTCAGAATCCTGTCACGCAGCGGAAGGCCAAAGGACATTTTCCCCTAAGTCCTTTTAACTTCCTGGCATTCCGTTTTTCAACCCCACATTAAAGGTGCTGATGTTTCATCCTAGTCCTACCAGCCAATGGGTGGCCTCAAGTCAGACTAGGCAGGGCTTCTATCGGCTCTTTCCCTGTTGGGCACGGGGAGAAGGAACCCAGAAAAATGTTTCCTCAAGCTCATTTTGTAATTTTCCTTTGGATGCTATCACTGAAGTTATGAGATCATTTATTAAGAAACAGACACATTCTAAACTAACATACAACAGATGTCAACCTAGGGCCACTGTTGGCCAGCAAGACCTATTTCTTGCAAGTTCTCAAAAATAGATTTTTTTCTTTTTGCTTGCCTTTTTTCCCCCTTCTGCTCTCGCCCAACGCCCAATCATCTTATAATCCATTAAAGCCCGTATACCAATTCTGTCTCTTTTCCAAGACAAGACCTGCCAACTTGAAAAACAAAAATGAACCTCCCCTAACTTTGGCATGTTTCTCCAAGCCTCAACTAACCCTGGGCAGAAACTGGTGGATGTGCGCCCAGTTGAAGCCTGAGGTTAGAGCCATAATTTTTACCTGCTTTAGCGAACAGTCTCCTGGTATGTTCTTGAATTCTCATCCTTGGTATATTGCAGGCCTGGGCATTAGCAAACCCAGGAGACTGGTATTCTCTGCCACTTGGCAGAGCAAGTTATCTGTCCTGAGAAGCTGAGATGTGAGATGCTTCTGCTCCCATAAGAATCCCTCTCTGTCTCTCTGATTTACCCTGTTCCCGGTGGTAAAGTATTTTCTGCAAACATGAAATTAGTTTATATTTTAAGGGCTTTGGAATGACTAATTTCGACTAAGTTAAGCAGGGCAGAGTAGTGACTCCCAAGTGACTCGATCTGTGATTCTTGGGAAGAGTTTAATGGACATTTTATTTTCGTTCAGGGTGACCTCACCAATCATTGTGCAAAATGCCCTCTCTTTGTTGTTTTCCTTCCCCTTAAAACAAATAACCACAATTTTCTAGACATTTCCGAGGGAAGAAAACTCTAATTGCATTTTACTTATCTTTAAGGCCACTGTTCAGGAATTAAAAAAAAAAACAAAAAAACAAAAAACTTCTATTTTAAAATTAAAAGTGTAGGTGAAGGTGATTGTATCTTTCCAAAGTCAGTAAAACAAATGTGTTGCATAAGTCATTTCAATTCAATTAAGAGAAACAGGTCAGATGCTAAAATATTAGTAAAATCAATTATGAGTAATAGGTCTCCTGTTAACACGTATCACTACAACAGTCTCTCATAATTTTTGAATAAATTTACATTTGTTTCATATTCTCTGTGTGCCTGTAATGTACGTGTGTGTCACTGACCATAAAACCTTCTCCATTTCCTCTTCTTTGTTACATTTGCTCGGGTAGGCCTCGGACTAATGCTAACTTACAGAAGGTTTTTCCAAGAGGAGAGAAAGTCAGCTGGTTAAGTTGGAAGGAGCTGTGGAATCAGGTGTATCTAACTTAGAATCTTGTCCCATCGCTTGTCACTTTGGCAGGGGGCTTCCTCCCTCTGAGCCTTGGTTTCCTCATCTGTACATGAGGGTAATGGTACCTTCCCCACAGGGCTGTCGTATGATTTAAGGCCCGCCACACGGCCAGGCACATGGTGTTCAAGCAATGTCTCTTTCTGATCTCCTTTGAAAATCCTAAAAATGATTAATATCTGAGAGAGGATAATAATCGTAACATTTTGGATTTGATGTCTTGTTTTGTGTGACGATTAGGGTCACCAAAGTCCCCTGAAAAAGTAATGTCACCCTTTATCTTTACTATTTATTAAAGGGAGACCCTCAGATCCCATGTAGATAACTCATGCGGAGGCACAACAATGGGGTAATGAATTTGCTGCTGGGACCTCAGTAAGCCTGTCCTTCAGACCCAACAGGTGCTGTCTGATGTGGAGAAATCGTGCAGGGAAAAAGAAAAAAGAATACAACATTGGATCTATGCTGGAATTACAAAAACACAAAAGTGACATGCATATGATAAAAGATGAGAAAGGAAAACAGGAAAATCTTTTTGGCAGACGAGTGAGAAAAATAGGTATATTGTTTTCCTCTTCTCTAAGATCCTTTTTCATTCTTAAAATGAGGTTAGACATTTAGGTAGAAACTAGAGAATTCTCCGGGGATTCATCCATTTAGGTTGATGGGCTCTCTAGTCAAAAGGTAACTCTCTCAGGAATGGAACTTAAATACAACTTGGCTTTAATGGAATACTTCCCTTCCAATAGCACAGAGGGAACACAAATGTTGACAGAGGTGAGGAAGAGGAAGGAAGGGCAATTTTGGAGGATGGTCACCAGCTGAGGGGGGCAGACTGGGAGAGAGTGGGCTCTAGACAGGAGCTCGAGGAGGTGGAGGTGGTGGAATACATAGAAAAGGGAAAGTTGATGGGGCGCCTGGGTGGCGCAGTCGGTTGAGCGTCCGACTTCAGCCAGGTCACGATCTCGCGGTCCGGGGGTTCGAGCCCCGCGTCGGGCTCTGGGCTGATGGCTCAGAGCCTGGAGCCTGTTTCCAATTCTGTATCTCCCTCTCTCTCTGCCCCTTGCCCATTCATGCTCTGTCTCTCTCTGTCCCAAAAATAAATAAACGTTGTAAAAAAAAAAAAAAGAAAAGAAAAGGGAAAGTTGCAAAGGCAAGGCAAGTAATGTAGGTAGACGCATTAAGGGGTTGATTCTTTTGGGGGGGGTGTCTATTTGTGAAGAAAAGAGGCATCCCTCAGGTGCACCAATAAGCTCAATATCTCTCAAGAAAGCCCCAAGAAAAGTATTAAAAAGTTTGGAAGATAGCTCACTGACACCCTGGTTTATAAAGACATTGCTTCTGCCTTTGGCTCTATGAGCCTTGAGGGGAGGGGGACAGCAAGACTCAGTAGGAAGGACAAGGACACAGGGGTGTGACAGAACTAGATTCACGCCCACCTCCGGGGCTCACTAGCTATGTGGGCTGCTGGGTAAGTTGCTTAACATCGAAAAACTTAGTTTCCTCCATTAATATTCATACTTCATGGTCAAGTTACCATAAGGTTTAAATGAGATTATACACACATGTACACATAATTGCACACATACAAAATGACTGGAATATAGTAATCTCTCAAAGAGTGTACCTAATCTTGCTATGGGGAGCGGAAGAGATAAGAACTCCCATCCTAAGATAAGAAAATTAATAAAGTTAAGGTTGTGGGTCCATCCAGCTTTATATACACAAGGAGGGACCAGAACAGCCTTCTCAGGGAGCCATGGTAAACCCATGCTGCCAGGGAAGAAGACAGCACTACCCCAAAGGCCCCCACTCTGCTTCCCAGAACGTGGTGGTGGATTAGCTGCCATTACCCATGGTCGAAAGCCCTAACGCTCGCTCATGTTTCTTCATCTTCGGGTTCGAGCACTCGGCTGAGGTGATGGCCCTGATACCTGTGTTTTTTTTTTTTTTCAACGTTTATTTATTTTTTGGGGGACAGAGAGAGACAGAGCATGAATGGGGGAGGGGCAGAGAGGGAGACACAGAATCGGAAACAGGCTCCAGGCTCCGAGCCATCAGCCCAGAGCCTGACGCGGGGCTCGAACTCACGGACCGCGAGATCGTGACCTGGCTGAAGTCGGACGCTTAACCGACTGCGCCACCCAGGCGCCCGATCCTGTGTTTTGAATCCTGTAATACCCCATGCTTGGGGTCAGGGGACATGGATAAAGGGGCATAGGGCGGCTTCTGTTCTCTACTGAGCCCTTAGACTGTTTCTAAGTCCTGAAGGCGTGCCTAACCATCTGGGAAGCTGGTAACAGCAAAGCGTAACACTGCAGCCAGTATCTCTAACCTACAACATGGGCAACGTGAGAAAGGACGGAAATTCTCCCCAAAGTCTAATGAGATGGGGCTCCAAGCACTTACTGGGATCAGGCAGGTAACTCTGTACCAGGGGCTCCATCAGCAACCGGGGAGGAGAAGGCTAACACGGGGATTTGAGTTTACACAGCAAACCCCATGACAGGAAATGCCTGGTAGGCAGAGGAAGAATGACAGCGCATGGTAACCAGGGTCTGGGGGAGCTGCTCTCCCCTAATCCAGCTAGCTCATAAGGAAACTGTTTATGTTTTCTGTTTGCCAAGAAAACCTTTGTGCGTTGCTGGAACCTGTTTGTCCTGAACTCCTAACAATAAACACATGGCAACCAGTTCTCCAGATGACAAGTCCTTTTGTTAATGAGCAAGGAATGACTGATGAGGCCGGGTGCTCTGAATACCCTTAGCTGCCTGGAGTCTTGTGACTCAAGGTTGAGAGGGGGAGAGGGCTGCTTTGGAAAGAAGTCTTGTTCTCTCACTCCATCCTGCTCCTTCGCACGGGGCAGCCCATGAGCACTGTTATGGTCATGTCTCATCCGGGTAAGCTGCTTTCATCCAAAGTGCCACTGCTGTGGCGGAAAGCAAATGCAGCTCCCCAAGACGCACAAAGCTCCGTAGAAAGAGTATTAAGAGATACGTACAATTTGGTAAACACATACCCACTCACATACACAAAACACTTTCCATCCCGTTTAATGTATGAGTGCATATGCATATATACATGTATGTATTTGTGGTCTGGGTATCAACAAGAACAAGGTAAATTCAACCACATGTGAATCGATAGTGTTAAACAATTAAATAGAAGTGTTGATCAAACCCCATAAGGGTGTGTGTTTCTCCGGGCTGGTGTAATGACGTGTCTTTGGCGAGTATGAGACTAATGCCAGCACATGCACCCGCTCTCTCCTCTCACCTCGTTGTCTATTAAAATCTGTCTCCCACACTTGCCGGGCACCCTCCCAATCGCACAAGGATTGTCACTGGTTGGCAAGGATTGAGAAATTCTGACTTCTGTTTGTTGTTTTACTGGTATCTGTTGTTAACTAAAAGTTAGAAAATATCCCTTGTGGTCCTTAGAAAGGTTCAGAAAGAAATCCAGAGTTTGGAACAGCCCCAAAGGCGTGTTTAGGGGAAGTCTCAAGGAATTCCAGTGGTCAGAGTTTAAGAGATTCTAATCTTGGAACCAAAAACAGACCCCAAATATGTCAGAGCCTCGTTCCAGGAAAAGAGCTTGGAAAAGGAAGCTTGTCAGGTAAAAATAAACTGATTTTCCCTGAATAATCTTGCACTTTGCACAAATAAGAATGACCACACCTCTGTTCCACGGCTGGGGCAAATCCAGGTTCAGCCCAACTAGCTCAAAGGTTTGCTGAGTCAGTGGCAAGGTGTTAGGAAACCCCCCTGTTCCCAGCCCAGCATCACACGTAACTCTGGAGCGGTCCTCCAGGAAAATAACCTGAAGAAGACTGGATGGAAATGCTCTTACTGTGATAGATAGGCTTCATATTAAAAAAAGATACTGCATTTTGGGGAAGACTTCCACAGTATAAAAATGCATTAAAAAAACCCCAAACCTACTGGCAGCCCCATAATTTTTCCTTCCTATCTTAGCATAACTTATCAAAGGCAAAGTTTATATATATATATACTCCACTGGTCAATCCATTAGGAGAGGGGCTGTCGCTGTCTGGCTCAGTGGTATAGCCTCAGACCCTCACCACAGTGCTTTGCGCTCAACAGATGCCCTTTTCATTGTTCATATTTGTTGAATAAATATGTCACGCAGGGCGAGGAACTCAGTTGGTCCTCATAAGTGGACCTAATCTAAACAAAAAGATTATACCTGGTGCCAGTGAAATTGGGGGCCTCTATTTTTATCTCCAAGATACAGGAGCAAAAGGTGAACTCTTGTACCAAGCCTTGAAGGGCAGCACAAGGCAGCGACTCAGCAAGAAGCAGAAAAGTGAGTGAGAATCCCACTCAGAGAACAGCCTGTCCACAGGCTCCCACAGAGGTATTACGGGTAGCGTTGTCATGGGCCAATTTCAATGCCTGATGCAGTTTCATAACACAGTGGATGATAAGCCATATTCATCAGGAAGAAAGAATAAAGCAAAAAATATTTATACATATATTCATACATAAAAACCTGTAACAGTGAGCTTCTTCATTGCCCAGTCTTCATAAAGTCTGCAAACCTAGTGATGGGGGTTTGCCTCCTGAGGGCGGAAAGCCTGGCTTCCTCCAGTCCTTGACAACAGGTGCTAAGCCCAAGTGGGAGCAGAGCTGTTTCAGGGGTAGTGTTCCACTGTGTTAGGGACTGAGTTGCCCCTGTGTGCATGGGGAAGACAGGGAGGCAGCTGGGGCTGAGAAATGCTTTAAAAGGGTGTTGTGCTCTCGAGAGTGATAATGGGAGTCAAACTCTGGACTCTGGTTCTTAAAACTATGAAGTCACAGAGAAGTGATTGGGGCTTATAGCTGAGGACAATTTCGAATGATTATATACATATAGGACCATTAGAGGCCACAGATAAGCTCTTCAACATTCTTCCATTACCACATATCTTTCTTTTCTTAGCCATTAACATTTACATTGGCTGGTTTTCCCCTCTTGTTTTCCTCAGGTGTGGCAGAGGTAACCAGAGACTCCAAGAATCTGATGGCAACATCATGCTCGGAAAGAGCAGTGAAGCAATGTTTGGGTAGCAGGGATAAAGCCTCTCTCAGCTTTGACCAAGGTGAAAAGACTACCAGCTCTGCTACATTCCGCGCCCCCCCCGCTGATCCCCACCAACCCCCACACAGCCCCTCAAAACACATGGGAGTACACACCGACATACAGCTCACACACACACACACACACACACACACACACACACACCCCTTGAAACCTGTCCTGTGTGCACTCCAGGTACCTGGCACACAGCGGTGCCCAATAAATATGTTAAATGTTGAATGACTAGATTAAAGTATTAGGAAGCAGGTGCCTACTTCATGTTGTTTTTCCCCCCCCCCCCCCCCCCCCCCGCCCGCCAAGCTTCAACTCTCCATAAAATTACATGGACACAACTTTTTCCCATGTATTTACTCTCCATAAAGGAACTGTGTGATACATAGATAATATGTTCTTTATACTTTGGTGACAAAAGTAAAAACAAATGACTTTCTCATTTCAAGAGAGCAGAAAGTCATCTTTCCTGTGAGTTTTTTTTCCAAGTAATCTCTATGCCCAACATGGGGCTCAAACTCACAATCCCAAGATCAAGAGTCACATGGCCTACTAACTGAGCCAGCCAGGTGCCTGTCCTCTGAGTCTTACCTTTTAAAGACAATCTCTTCCTGAACCCCCAGAATTACTTTTTGAATGTCACTTCCCCAAATTTGCATGTTATAGGAATGGACACTTTCTTTGGAATTTTTCTCGTTTCCCCAAATCTTGCTAATCTGCTGGATTTGAAGCTCGTGTATTTTTTTTTTTTTTTTTTTTTTTTGCATCTGTCCCAACACCTCCTGCTGACACATGCCCAAAGATGCTCAGCTTAAAAAGGGAGTGGTCTTCGAAAACACAAACTAGGTGTTCCCTGTTCAAATGAAAACTTGACAGGTATTCTCACAGGGAATACTGGAACCTTTCCCTCAGCAGCTATACAAAGGTTAAAACTTGTTCCCGGCAAACGAGTTTACACTGATGCATCCTACATGGATTGTCCCTTCTTGTGGTTCACTACACTCTAATTGCAATCATGTTGGACATAAGCTGCTTACCGTAATGTTTCATAATGAAAAGTGTACTCTCCAGAATTCAATATCCAGTAATGGCTTCTTTGATGGAAAGCATGATTATGGTAGTAAAACCACTACAAAAACGGACACATCTTCTTCAGTAGCTCATCTTTCTTTGGAGACAAAGGCAAGTTCTGATTCCTCCGACTGTTGGGGATTGAATTCAGTTTTGGGTACTGTCAGCAGCCATTCCAACTGCATCTGATCCATTGTGGTAGAAAATACCTTGGGACTACAAATAGGGCCACCCATCTTCACAGCTGATGTATCATGATGATTCCTTTTGGATGCATTCATAATCAGCAGGGTTGAGGGATAGTTGGCTTTGCTCTGTTGGCTAAAAAATTTTAATTTTATTGCATAAGAATATCATAACATATAAGGAAACCAGGAAACTCACTCCTAACTCTGGAACCTTAAACACATTAACTGGTTTTCCTTCATCCTTGCTCTCACAGCCGTGACATCTGTCTACACACAAGTTGTCTTGCTCCCATGCTTCTCTGTATCAATGCTTCATCATAATGGATCAAGATGGCTTATAACACAAGCATTAGCCATCCTGATCACCTCACTGTGTCTCAGAAGATGGCAGGACAACCCAACTGCCCAAGATTTTAGGGCTCTAGGATTTTTAAGGTATGGAACCACAGACATTGCTTGAGGTACTTTCTGCAGAAGATGCGTAGCTTTGCCTGCATTTTTGGGCCTCCAGGCACAGAAAGCCATCGTCCATACAAGGCTCCTCCTGATCCTATTTATCCAAAGCGGATTCTATTCCAGAGAGTTCCATCCACCTTCTTGGGGGCCTGCCTCAACCATTCCTGCCCCTAAGACTGTCCTCTGCCTTCCTTTCAACTCCAGGAGTTCCCATGGCCAGCATCTCTCAGCATCTCCCTTTGTTGCAAGAGGGTCCGTGTTTCACGCCACTGTTCCTAGAGTGAGGACTCTGCCTGAGACTTCCCTGGAGTCCCCAGGGTATCTAGAGCACAGGAAGTATTAATGGATATTTATACACTGATCTAAATAACATTGTGGATTGAGGTAACTGCCCAAAGGACAATTAAGTAAGTGAAAATAACATAGAAAATGTGAGAGAGAAAAAAGACATTATGGTATTAGTTCAAACAAGGGCAGGGATCCACTCTCACCCGTTTATGTTACTTAACCTCTCCGCGTGTCAGTTTCCTCATCCAAAAAGTCAAAATAATAATAGTATCCGCTTCATAGGCTGTCATGAGGACTTAATGAGTTTGTATTTGCAAAGTGCTTAGAACAGCACCAGGCACGCAGCAAACGCCCCACAGGCATTTGTTACATGAAAATAAAAACTAAATAACATCACACTGCCAAACTCTACCATAGTGCCTGACACGGGGTAGATGATCAGTAAAGGCTGAACTCCCTACTCTGTTTTGTGACATTGGAACCAGCTAGGCCTGGGAGGGAGCGGCTTCCAGGACCGATGGGCTGGTTGGGGACAGTGCTTTCCAGGAGGTGAAGCCCTTGGGAACACAGCAAACTCCGTGCTCCACTTTAAGGGCCTTGGAAGGTACCAGGTTCTGCCACCAACTCGGTTCAGCTGGCGCACTCCCAGGGCTGCGACGTGTGGCTTTTCGGGTTAGCCAGAGGAGGAGCAGTTGCCGGGCACCCTGGCGCCCACAGGCGGTGGCTGCTGCGGTGAGGGGACAGCCCGGAGCTCCGCCCCCGGTCGGCCTCGCAGCCCGGAGTCGGCGCGGAAAGTTACTGCGTGCTAACGTGGCAGGAACCATGGAAAGCGCAGGTCTGCCAAGAGCTGAAATCCTGGGCTGTGTTTCTTAGGCTCACAGGCACGGCTCTTCTGAGAAGCTAGTCTACACACGTCCCTTGCATATAACTGTATTCTTTCAGCAGCTACTATATTTTGGGGCAGAGGGAGGAGAAAAAAAGTTGGAAGGAGTGGCAATAAGGCATGAGCCAAATCCCACGTATGATTTTTTTTTTTTTGCTTGCCCTAAGATGCATGTATATTTTCATCCACTGTATTGCATACCGCTGAACTTTGCATCTGATGGATTAAAAAAACACCACCACCTAACTCTTTATCAAATTCAACTCAGCAGAGGCTTGCATTAGTCTATTTGCTCATTCCTTTTTTTTTTTTTTTTTTTTTCCCTAGCAAACATTTCCGGAGCACCAGTTATCTGTCAGTTACTCAAGTGGGCCCCAGGAACCCTAAAAAGCTCCTAGTCCAGTGTTGAGACAGACGGTAAATTGTTGCTATACCACATAAAGGGCTATCACCGCGGCCTGCACAGTGGACTGCCCGGCAGAGAAATGATTTCTACCAGGTGGGGGAGAGCAGCCCGCACAGGCTTGCAGGGGAGTCTTGTTAGAGCAGGTCTTTGAAGAACGACTCCAGCGAGAAGGTCACCAGGTGAACGAGTGGCCTA